ACACCTGGCTAATTTTTTATTTTACTGTAGAGAAGAGATCTCACCAAGTTGCCCAGGCTGGTCTCGAACCTGCACACTCAGGAGATTCACTCACCTCAGCTTCCCAAAGTGCTGGGATTACTACAGGCTGAACCACTGAGCCCAGCCTGAAAAACTTTTTTTTTGGGGGGTGAAACACCCTGCACCCAGTAAAGGTCTCTTTGAACACAATACTTCTTATTTAATGGGCCAGAACAACCCAAAAGCTTGACAACTTCCTCCTCTGGTGAAGCTGTGGGAAGGACAGGCACTCACATACACTGCTGACTGGACTGCAAAATGCCAGCGTCCCACGGAGGGGCATTAGGCCATGTCCTGCAGAATGACACACGAACTTGCCATTTGAACTAACAATCCAACTTCTGGGAATACATCCTAAATGAGACATACACCCCGACCTTTCATGACAGCGCTGTTTGTAATAGCAAGACACTGGAAACCACCCAGACGTCAGTCAACAGGGCAGTAACTGACCGCAGTAGGGTCTGGTTCGACGTCGGGCCAGAGAGAGAGCTTATGCAGGCTGGCTCCTCACCTTTGACTTGGACCTAGTAGTCTTCACTTTTTGAATCCAATTGTTCAAGCTGAAAATATTGTGGTACCTGTTCACTATACAGAAACAAGGACTATCCGTCTCTCTATAGGAATACTGACTGACCTCCAGAATTTACTAAGTGGAAAAAAGTGGAGAAAAGTGTGCTAACATTTATATAAGGGCAGATATGTATAATTAACTTTACTTTTAATATAAAAAAAAATCAAAAGTTACTTATGGAGCAGGAAGGGAGTAGAGACGAGAAAAAGAACTTTCAGAGCAAAGGAAGGGAGCTATAGATGTACAAAGAGGTTAAATGAAACCTTGACTCTTGAACTTGAGAGGACATATCAATGGGTTCATGATATATTTTATTAAAAACAAAAAAGCAAACCATATTAACCAGTCCTGTCCCCAGAACAGGTACAGAAACCATAAAATGCGTGAACAAGTAGCAATTATGACACATACTCAGATCATGACCTTCAAATAACATTTTCCACTGGAGGATGCAGGGCACTTTGGACACATGGTGTATTATGGGTATGGAGTAAAAAATATACAAAATGAGCCTCAAAAGCAACCAAAGACCACTGGGGCTGTGCCAAGGCTCAGGGACCCGCCTAGACAAGTCCTCATTGACCTGAGATGAAACAACGTGCTACTGCAGTGGATTACAAACCACCACATTTGTCTAAATCTCTGGATTCATCGTGATGGCCATTGGCTTTTAAGGGTTTTTTTAGCCAGGAATTTTGTAAAAGTTTAAGGTAGTGCTCTGATTTCATTTTCCATCAGAATAACCATTTTACTTGTCAACCTATACATACATGTGGATCTCTTTTTTGGGATCTTCATCACCTTTTGTTTAATGTCCACCCAGGTGTATTTAACAATACCAGACTATCCAGCTACTTGGAAGGCTAAGGCTGAAGAATCGCTGGAGCTCAGCAGGTCGAGACTGTGGTGGCCGGGTGAGCGTGCCACTGCACCAGCCTGGGCAACAGAGTGAGACTCCCACTCAGGGGAAAAAAAAAAAAAAAAAAAAAGACAAGACTACTTTAATGACAATGGACTTACTCCATAACTTGTCACCTGGTAGGACAAGTCCTTTCAACCTTATTTTTCTCCTTCAAGATTGTCTTAAATCCTGTAAATGTTTTTTCTTTATAAATATGAAAAATGTTGGAACGGCAACCTCAGCAAACATACACAGCTTATTTTTAAAAAATTACCAGCCACTCTACCCTGGCAGCATGAAAAAAAATTAACCATAAATGGGTAACTGAGTCAACTAAACCCTAGATGATAAGGTGACACAGGATTCAAAGTTAGGAAGTACCGTTCACTACACCTGAATGGCGTTCCGTGCTTTTGGGGGGGAGGTGTTCCGCCGTTTTCCCCTTCACGGCAGTCGATTCGCCGTCTTACTTTTCCGGTCCAAGCAGGAGCTGAGAAAACTTCCCGAATTCAGAGCGAACAACGCTGGCTCTACGGACTTCTCTCAAGCCCACGTGTGCCAGGGAAGTCCCGGAACTCCCCGAGAAAGAGTGGCTGGGGCCAAACACCGGGCGCCCCCGGAGGCGGCCATCGCATCGGAGTCGCCGACGCCCCGCGCTCTGCAACGTCGGGCCGGCCAGTCCCGGACAGG